CTCAATGTATGGAGGGGGAAGAAAAGAAAAAGAAAGAAAACAGATCTCTCTCTCTCTCTCTCTCTCTCTCTCTCTCTCTCTCTCTCTCTCTCTCTCTCTCTTCAAGGAATCGTCTTTGCCGCGCGGATAGAAGATAGTGGGCGGGGCGGGTGGAGGCCGAGCGCAGGTGGGCGGAGGTAGAGGACAATAGGAGTTGGACAGGGGGTGGGCCGCCAGCCGAGGGGAGGGGGGCAGAGGAGAAGTGGCCGAGGCGGGGAGCCGGAGAGGAGAGCGGGCGAAGGCCGACCGGTGGGTGGAGGCATAGGGCGGAGGCTGAGGAGAGGTGGACAGAGGTACCGGGCGGGGGCCTTGCAGAGGTGGGTGGAGGTAGCGGGCGGGGGAGGTGGGCAGAGGCGGACAAGAGGTCAGTGGAGGCCGAGAGGAGGTTGGTCCGCACAGCGGGATGTGCAGCGGGATGTTGGGAGGAGGCGGATGCGAGATGGGCGGAGGGCAAGGCGAGATGGGAGATCCCAATGGCGAACGCGCACAGTGCGATGTGCAGAGAGGCAGACGCAAGGTTGGGGGAAGGCAAGGGGAGATGGGAGACCCCAATGCCGGAAGGGAGGTGGGAGGAGGCTGACAGGAGGTCATCAGAGGCGGTCATGAGGTCGCCGGACGCCGAGGGGAGGTGGGCATGCACTGTAAAAAAAAAAAAAAAAAAAAAAAACGGGGTGGGCAATGGGATGTCCAGTGGGATGGTGGATGTGGGCAGAGGACCGGAGCCCTGAGCGGAGGTGAGCGGAGGTGGAGGAGAAGTGGCAGAGGCCGAGCGAAAAGAGAGAGAGGACATGGCCAGAGGAGGCGGACGAAGGCTGAGGGGAGATTGGCGATCCCAATGGCGGGAGGGAGGTGGGCAGAGGCGGACAGAAGGTCGGCGCTGGCCGAGGGGAGGTGGGCACGCACCATTTTTTTTTGTTTTTCTTTTAAAAGGAGGGCATAGGGATGGTGGATGTGCGGGCAGCGGAACAGAGGCGGAGAGGAGATGGCGGGAGGCGTACGGGAGGTGGGTGAGGTGGAGAGGAGATGGCGGGAGGAGGCCGACCTGAGGAGGCGGAGGTGGAGAGGAGATGGCGGGAGGAGGTGGACGGGAGGTGGCAGAGGCGGAGAGGAGATGGCGGGAGGAGATAACTGGAGGAGGCAGACGGGAGGTGGCGGAGGCGGAGGAGAGGAGATGGTGGGAGGAGGCCGACGGAGGTGGGCGGAGATGGAGGGGAGGTGGTCCGAGGTGGGCGAAGGAGGGCGGAGGCCAAGTGGAGGTGGGCGGAGGCCGAACGGAGTTGGGCGCAGGCCACTCCCTCTCTCTCTCTCTCTCTCTCTCTCTCTCTCACACACACACACACACACACACACACACAAACACACACAAACACAAAGGGGATAGGGAGGCGGAGGCGGAGAGGACTTGGCAGGAGGAGATCACGGGAGGAGATCATGGGAGGAGATGGCAGGAGGAGGCAGATGGGAGGTGGCGGAGGGGGGAGAGGAAACAGAGAGGGTCTGGCGGGGGAATGCGAAGGGGAGCTGGGCAGAGGCTGAGCCGAGGCGGGCAGAGGCCGAGGCCGGAGGTGATGGCGCAAGCCAATTCCTCCCTCTCTCTCTCTCTCTCTCTCTCTCTCTCTCTCTCTCTCTCTCTCTCTCTCTC